CAAAGTGTTGGTTGTTTTACTCTTTGGTTCTTTGCACTTAGCTCTTTGAGTGGCCCACCACCCAGTTCTCAAATAAATCACATCTAGGTTTATGTTTATAATGCCTGGCCTTAGCTTGGCTTGCTTCTAGCCTGCTTTTCTTAAATTACCCTGTCTACCTTTTGCCTCTGGACTTTTATCTTTATCTATTCTATATGCCTTTCTTTACTTCTTACTCTGTGACTTGCTGTGTAGCTGAGTGGCTGGCCCGTGGCATCCTCTCTCTTTCTTTTCTCATTCCTTGATTCCCCTCTTTCCAGATTTCTCCTCCTATTTATTCTCTCTGCCTGTCAGTCCCACCTATTCTTTCTCATGCCTTGCCTTATCAGACCATTGTGAGGGCCAGCCATGATAATCTAAGTCTGGGCAGAAAGGAAGTTCTTTGCTTCCTCCAATCATTATCACCTGGGACTCTGGCCATCGATAAATTTAAATGGAGTCTAAAGTCTCAGTAGTTTACCCTGAGACAATGCCTGGCAGGCCAAGATTATCTGACCCTCACCCAAGAGCAGACCATTCAAAGGGAATTCCTGCCAACACTTCACCAGGACACCCCTAGACAAATGTCAGCCAGTCTGGGGTCCTGAACCTCAGAGACCCCTCACCCCCACCTTTACTACTATAAAAACCCAATTCTAATTGAGCTTGGGGCTCTCCAGTTATTCCAATATGTTGGACATGCGGAGAGACTGAGTTTGAAAACTTGATTAAAATAAAGGCTCTTTGCTTTTACATACGGGACTCAGTCTCCTCTGTTGGCTTTTGTGGGGACCCACGGATTTGGGCATAACAACCATCAGGTGTTTTAGACAGGCAAAGTAACACAACTTCACAGAGTTGAACAGATGCAACATAAAAGAATGCAGCACATCTTTGCATCATTAAATATTCTACACCATAAGCAAAAGTAACACATCTTAAGATAATATTCCACAACACTCAAGCACGTAAGACCCTTGCTTTAATTTTTTTCAAAAGTTTACTTATTCAAATATGTGCGTGTATACATGTGGGGGGGCATGCATGTGTGTGCAGTGGCCCAAAAAGGCCAAAAGAAGCCATCTGACCCCCTGTAGCTGAAGTACAGGTGACTATGAGCCATCCAGTGTGAATGCTGGGAACCAAGCCCAAGGTGTCTGCAAGCCTAGGACCTGCTCCTGACCTCTGAGCTGAACCATCTCTCCATCCTCCTCCCTTGAACCTGAAAGATCCTTGGAATCTCACAAACCAGATACGGAGCTTGGTTAATAACCCAGCTGGTAAGTCAGGAAACCACAGCCTAGGCTGGGAGCGATTATTTTCACCATTATGACTTAGGGCTGTTTTTCATGAGTCATCCTTTCTAACCCGCTCTACACAGAACAATCCTGTGATCTCACACATCAAAATAAAACAAAACAAAAAGACCAAAAAATCAACCTCCAAGTTTGGAGCCTGGCGGTGGAGGTTTATGACCCTGGCACTCAGGGGAGGGATTCAAGGTGTGTGTCTTAGTTTGAGCAGAGACACCATGACAAGGCACAAGGCAGCTGGTACAAGAGAAAGCATTTAAGTAGGGGCTCGCTTGCACCTTTAGAGGCTAAGTCCATGATCATCATGGTGGGAGCAGACAGGCAAGGGACTGGGGCAGGCAGCATACACACACGCACACACACACGCACATGCACACACACACGACCTTGCCTGGGCTTTTGGAACCTCAAAACCCACTCTCAGTAACACATCTCGTCCAACAAGATCACACCTCCTAATCCTACCCTGCCAGGAGTCCAGCTCCAGAGGGGTTCAGATCCCAAAGAGGAGGTGTGGAGTTAGTGTCGAGGGAAGGAGACTCAGGGTGGCTGCCTGTTTATTAAAAATAGGCTGCACCTTATATACTCTACAATTGCATCATAGTTGAACCACCAGCAATGTTGAAAGCAGACTTAATAATCCTGGGGTGAAAGTGATCATCAAAGTCATTTCAGCATCTTTCTTGAAGCAAAAACTAGTAAGTTTAGCAAGATAAATGCCTCTTGTCCGCTAAGGTTCAGTAACCGGCTGCACCGGCTTAGCCTCTGTGGCCAAGAGGCGTCAGATGTGAGAGATAAACCCAGCGGAGGAGTTTGTGTTCTTCGAGGACATGGCGTGGTGTTTGTGCCCGAACTGCATTCCTCTGTGCCTTAACCTTATAATATGGGCCTGTTCCCATCATAAGCTCGCCAAAGGGAAGGTCCTGAGAGCCCATTCTTTTTCTATACCACACCAATTTGATTTCCTCAGTGTGTGCTCCTGCATATGGCAGAGGGGGATCAAGCCAGTCTAGTTTCTCAACACAATCTGTCCCCCGTGGGGCAGACCAGAATTTGCCATCCATCCAGTAAGGCAAGGCACTATTCTACATTCATTAACTAAATTCTTGCCCTAAAGGGCCTCAGGCTCTGGCTCGGGGTCCTTTGTTTCATTCCTGGGACCAGGTATGCCCAGTTTGGAAAATTTCTCTATTCCTGGTATAATCAGGGGGTTACAATGGGGAGTCCGGTGTGGGGAGTAAGTAGAGTTATCATGCTACATAGTTCCATGGTGCCGGGTTTGTTTTTTCCAAAGAATTAATTCTCTTTAAAGAGACTGCCACTGAATACATTTTCACCCTATACCAAACCCCGAACAAATTTCCCAAAGTAAGAGGCTTAAGGAAATTCCCATAACACACATGAGGATCATTGAAAATGAAAGTAAAAAGGTGGTGGAGGGTTGTCGTGGTATAATGTCTCCCTGGCCTGGTGCCAGAGGGATAGCAAGCAACCTCCACAAACCGTGAAACCCCGCTGGGCTATACCTGGCGTAGTTCTGGAGTTTTTTTTTTTTTTTTAAATTTATTTATTATGTATACAATATTCTGTCTGTATCCCTGAAGGCCAGAAGAGGGCGCCAGACCTCTTTACAGATGGTTGTGAGCCACCATGTGGTTGCTGGGAATTGAACTCAGGACCTTTGGAAGAGCAGGCAATGCTCTTAACCACTGAGCCATCTCTCCAGCCCCAGTTCTGGAGTTTTCATTCAGCTCCTAGTCCATCCTTTTTGTGTTGGTACCTTCTGTCATCCTATGGGAATCTTGACTGAGAGTTTCCCATGGATACAAAGCCTATGCAAAACCTGGTTTAGAGGAAACCTGGAAAAACCAAACCGTGGTACCTCATTAATCAGGTACCTGGCATTGTATTGTTGGAAGCTTCTATCCGTTTCTTTTGAGATATGGAAATCTATTAGCTAAAGTGTAAATACAGGAAAAGAACAAAAAGGCCAAGAGTCAAGGGAAGGCCCTTCAGTTCACCGAGATGGAGCCCCTGCAGCCTCAGAGGCTAAGTTCATTCTCAATGTGCCTCTGAGTCTTTATTTCACTGACCCGCGTGAACCCACACACCCGCGCCGAGTTACACGTGACAGGTCATGATCCACAATGTCAGAATGCTGGAACCCTGCCAAGCAGCAACGTGGTCCACACCATTTCCCACACAGTTCCTCGACTGGGACCAAGCCCTCAGACCCAGGAGTCTGTCTACGGGAGGCATTCTCATCCAAACCCCACAGCCAGCCAGTGCTTTTCAGGCAGTTCTTGGCCAGCCTGGGCTACACGAGCCCTTGACCCGAAAGCCAAAACCAAAGCCAGTGGGATGACTAAGTGGGGAAAGGCACCTGTTGGCAAGCCTGATAATCTGAGTCCGATCCCCGAGACCCACCCGGAGGAAGGAGAGAACTGAGCCTTGAAAACTGTCCTCTGACCTCCACATCTGTGGACACACACACACACACACACACACACTAAATTGTAATTTAAAAAACCTAAACCTAACCCAAACCAAAACGCCTGTTAAACCATGTAGTTTCAGAAGCCACCTTAACCATGTATATATGGGGGTTGGCGCCGGGGCCCGACAGTTAAGAGCCTCTTTTGCTCTTCCACAGGGCCCCCCAACTGGGCTCCTAACACCCACGTCAGGTGACCCACAACTGCCTGTAACTCCAGCTCCAGACGATCTGACACCTCTGGCCACTGCAAGGCACCTGCACACATGTGCACAAACACATAGTAAATAATAAAAGTGTTTTAGATGTCATACAAATGTTGAGCCTCTCATTCAACCCCTTCTCTTGTGCCTGCTCCTCTACCTTGGGCATGTACCATCTTTTTCCTGAGTCTCTCTCTCTCTCTCTCTCTCTCTCTCTCTCTCTCTCTCTCTGCCCATGTTAAATATGTTAGAAATCTTTTCTAGAGCCAGCAAGATGGCACAGGGACTGGAGTTTGGAGCCCCAGAACCTACTGGTGGGAGCGGACCTGTAATCCCAGCATTCAGAAGGCAGATCCCCAGAGCAAGCTGGCTACGGAGTCTAGTGGGGCTGCTGAATTCAGAGTTAAAAGAGAGACCTTGCTTCAAAAACGAAGGTGGGGAGGGAACAAGGGAGACTCCAGGGCCAATGATGAGCTTCCACATGCATGCCAGGGACATGCACAGGGACATGTGTGCATGCACATGCAAACATGTATATACATATGAATGTACACATGCAAACATGCATATACATATGAATGTACACATGCAAAGCACTCATGAGGCAGACACAGGAGTCTCTGAGTTCAAGGCCAGCCTGATCTACAGAGTGAGTTCCAGGACAGCCAGAGCTACACAGAGAGAAACCCCATCTCAAAAAGCCAATCAATCAATCAATTAAAATAAATAAATAAAAATCCAGCTTTATTACTTCACTTGGGTGTGGTGGTACAGGCTACGAAGGGAGTTCAAAACAAGCCTGGACTACATGAGACCTGTCTCAAAAAAATAAAACACACACACACACACACACACACACACACACAGAAGAAAGGAAACTCCTGGCTTCTCCTTAGTGGAGGTCTGAAGGAACTCCTCGGGCGGGGTTGGGTGTTAGGGTAAAACCCATGTCCTGCTCCCACTGTCACTCACCCTGGGTCACCTTGCTGGACACTCCTCTTTAGGATCTGCTTCTGTAGGCTCTACAGAGAGTCCCACGGAGGCTGGGGTCGTGGCTCAGTCCTTGAGTGCTTGCCAAGTGTACACAAAGCCCTGGATGTCATCCGCAGCACCTCATGCTCTTGGTGAGGAAATCCAGCACTTGGGAAGTGGAGGCAGGAGGATCAGGAGTTCAAGGCTATCCTTAGCCTTGTCTACTTAATGGAACAAAGGAAGGAAGGAAGGAAGGAGAGAGCCACTCAGTGCAAGGGACCTTCTTGCTGCCAACTCTCATTTTTTCCAGTGTGGACAGAGCTGTGACAATCCTGTCTCTCTCCTCAACACTGTCGGGAGGACGGGGTGGCAGATTCAGGACAAAGCTTTTGTCTTCTTTTCTGCAGCTGAGCGCGAAAGTTCTAGAATTCAGAGGGAGATAAACACTCTGTTGGCCATCCTCCCCAAAGGCAGCCAGCTCCGAAGAACCCACTCTCTCCCTCCACATTCCTTCCCAGTGACAGTGACAATTCCCCCACTTCCCTTCTTTTGAAAGCCCAGAGAAGGAAATGAAACACCCTCTTTAAGTACAACGCCCTTGATGACTAACCAGGGCCTCCCAGCGGCCAGCTGTCACGTTGTTTCCTCCCTAGAGACTGAGGCATGGGTGATGCCCACGCCTGCCCTTCCCTGGTGCTCCTCTGTGGCCGCTGGGAATCTCCACTTCTGTTAGCTTGTAGTGGTCAGAGCTCTTCCTCTGGGAAGCCTTCCAAGACCCCCGGTGGGTTTCAACATCCGCCCTGTTCTAACTCTTCCTGAGGCAGGCTGGAAAGGCAGGTGAAGTTTGCCGGTCCAAGGACTCCTGTGAAATTCTCGGGATCTCTCTAGAAACTCCATGTACAGGGGAAAGGCTTATGGTAAACCCTTTGAAACCCGGGTGACTGTATTTACCTTAACGAACTGTAATTCCTTCTAAGGCATTTTTGGAGCAGTAGGGAACAAGGCAGTTCCATGCAGAGGCTGCGGATGTGGCTCCGTTGTAGAGTGCTTGTCTAGCCGGCATCACTCACACCCACCCCCAGCCCCACAGAGGTGGTGACTCCTGCTCACAATCACCTAGCACTTGCAAGGTGGAGGCAAGAGCATCAGGAGTTCAAGGTCACTCTTGGCTCTGCAGCAATTTCAAGGCTGGTTGGGGGTACTCAAGAATTTGACTTAGAAAAAAAGGTCACAAGTTCAGTTCCCAGCACCCAGGTCAGGTGGCTCACAGTTCCCTGTAACTCCAACTTCAGGAAGCTATGACGCCCATGTCTGGCTTTCTGAGGCAAGGCACTGAAGTGCACACACCCATACACATGCACACACACACACACACACACACACACACAATTTAAAATAGGATTTAAAATATTTTTTTAGAAGTCTAGAATTTAAAGAAAAATTTCTCATGATGAAGAGAGAGAGAGAGAGAGAGAGAGAGAGAGAGAGACTTGAGAAGAGAGATCGGATGGTGAGAAAGAGAGGCTGAGAATGTAAACAGAGGAGGGGTGGGAGAACCGGGAGACAAGGCTAGGGCTGGGCTCTGAGACTCCTGTGTGCAAACTCCACATAGCTGCAGGTGTGGAGCGTGGATGGGAACCTAGGAACTCACTACTGGAATGAAATCCTTCTGTGTCTGCTCACCGCAGCAGACCATGAGCAGGCCCCGAACTTGCCAGAGAGTTCTGACCTCCCTGTGGGGACATGAGGGTGATGGCACATGGCTTCAGATTAGGAAACAAAAGTAGAACTATAGAGCCCCCACCTTCTAGTTTACGCTTCCAGCAGACATCATTAATCAATACAAGTGTTCTCTTTGGTGTTCACAGTGGCAGACATCATTAATCAATGATCAACGCAAACACTGTTTTTTGGCATTTACAGTGGCAGACATCACTCTACCTGATGCCAGCATAGGAAGTGTTATCCCCAGAAAGAACTCCATGGAACTGGATTCCAATGTAAAGCACAAGAAGGTTCTTAATATTTTTTCTTTTTTTAAAATTTATTTATTTATTTATTTATTTATTTATTTATTTATTATGTATACAATGTTCTGTCTGTGTGTATGCCTGCAGGCCAGAAGAGGGCACCAGACCCCTCTACAGATGGTTGTGAGCCACCATGTGGTTGCTGGGAACTGAACTCAGGACCTTTGGAAGAGCAGGCAATGCTCTTAACCTCTGAGCCATCTCTTCAGCCCCGGGTTCTTAATATTTAAACTCGAGTCTGGACCACACCTCCAACACATCAACGCAGAGGGTGAGGGACGTGCAGCCCCAGCCCAAGGAAGGCTAGGACTTTGAAATGCCTTAATCAGGGGAGGTCGTGTCCTGTTGTCTTGGGATTGGGTAAGGAGAACAGATGATAAGGTAGTTTCTGAAACCATTGGTCAGGTTTTTGGGTGAGAAAACCTTATCAAAGACCCATTAATAAGAGACAAGGTATCTTCAAGGACAGGATGCCTCCTAGGAACATTTGGATTTTATTAAATTTTATGGCCCTGTTCCCTGTCACCTTAATTGACCATTTTCAGGGTATTTGTTCAAATTCCACCATCGCAGAGCATCTCTGGAACTGAGATTCCCCCCCCCCCCCCCCCCCCCCCCCGCCCATTATATAGCTTAAGATGAATCCCTGCTTTAAAATGCAGTTTGCAAAGTCAGAGCCTCACAGAGGCAGACCTCAGGGAGCACAGATGAGTTCCCAGAGATCTTAATAAACAGTGAGCACTGGTCTACTAGAAACAGTAGCGGGGGTTGGAGGCAGCTTAGGGGTTGAGAGCTTGTGCTGCTTTTGCAGAGGGCCCAAGTTTGGTTTCTAGTTCCCCATCAGATGGCTCACAACCGGTAACTTGAGCAGCATTGATCCAACATGTCTCTGGCACATGCATGAACATGGTGTATACACATACACACACACACACACATACTCACACATATACACACACACCATACACGCATACCACACACATACACACATACATACAAACATACACACACCACACAAACACACACACATACCACACATATACACACGTACATACCACACACATACACACACACATACCCACACATTTACACGCACACCACACACACATCCACACCACACACACACGGCACATATACACACACACAATTAAAAATAAGATATATCTTTTTGAAAAGGTAGCCAAGAAGAAATATGTCTCTCCTAGCACAAAGTAGGTGTGAAAAATAAGATTGAAAAGAGAGATTGTGGGCTGGAGTTACAGCAGGACAGGCCTGGCGGACTTGGCTCTTTCATTCCCTCAGCTTCCCTAAGACCTCTGTTTTCCGTGGAGACATGAATAAATGTCTGTTGGGTCCAGGGGCGTCGTGTAAAGATGGGGACAGACCACCAAAGTCTAATAAACCAGAAGAAAACTTTATTTCAGAAACCAGAACCCAGGAAAAAATAAAAATAAAATAAAAAATCTCCACGGGGCACAAAAAGCTTATCAGCTAGCTGAGACCACAGCCAGAGATGGATTCTGTAAGGCTGTGGCAAAGCCCAGTTTCTGAACCCACTCTTTATAGTAGGGGCACCAAGCATTAGGTCTGAACAAAGGAATTTTTACAATCTCAAGGAAAAACTCAGATACAGATTGCCTTAATTTACAATCTCCATTAACAGAGTCTTTCCTTTGAACTAGTGACTTAATCTATTGTCTTTCCTGGTACTTTCAGGTGGTGTTTACTGAAGCCCTGTGCTCTCCCCTTTGATGCTGCCAGTTTCACATAGCAGGGATAATGCGTAACCCAGAGATTATATCTATCTCTTAAAAGTTGACTAAACTCATACCCATAGGCTAGCTCTCAGTGTGCAGAGAGATGCTTTGGTCTTGTGAACAGAGCTGTGGGTTGTAAAGTGGAGTAACCCACTGTTAATAGTTAATCCTCGAGCTACTGAGAAAGCTGCTGATGTCTGTTCTCATTCTCCTAGGCTTACAACTTTATATTTCTTTATTTTATTTTCCTATATTCCTATTTCTGGAATCTACATTTTTATTTTCTTATTCTTGGACCCTTCGATGTCCACTCACCCTGGTTAGGAATCCAAAGATGGACTAAAGCAAGGATACCAGCTGTCTGTAAACGGAGGTGGCTGTTCATTTCCCTACTGCCCAGACTTTAAACAATTACACAGAAACTATATTAATTACAACATTGCTTGGCCAATAGCTTAGGCTTTTTATAAACTAACTCTTACATCTTAAATTAACCCATTTCTATTATTTTATATTTTACTACGAGGCTCGTGGTTTACTGGTAAGGTTCCGGCGGGTGGGTGTCTTTCTCCTTTGGTGGCTACATGGCGTCTCCCTCACTCCGCCTTCTTTCTCCTCTATGTCTGCTTAGAATTTCCACCTTGCTCTACTCTGGGCTGCCATAGGCCCAAAGCAGCTTTTTTTATTAACCAAAAATGATAATGAAACATATTCACAGCATACAGAGTGGAATCCCACATCACCTGTCTTAGTTACAGCTTTCATTGCTGTGAGGAGACACTATGACCATGGCGACCCTTATGTAGAAAACGTTTGATTGGGGTGGCTTGGTTACAGTTCCAGAGGTTCAATCTACTATGATCATGAGTGGGAGCATGGTGGCATGCAGGCAGTCGTGGTGCTGGAGTTGAGTGGTGCTGGAGCTGAGTGATACTGGAGCTGAGTAATGCTGGAGCTGGGTGATGCTGGAGCTGAGTGATGCTGAAGCTGAGTGATGCTGGAGCTGGGTGATGCTGGAGCTGGGTGATGCTGGAGCTGGGTGATGCTGGAGCTGGGTGATGCTGGAGCTGAGTGATGCTGGAGCTGGGTGATGCTGAAGTTGAGTGATGCTGGAGCTGGGTGATGCTGGAGCTGGGTGATGCTGAAGCTGAGTGATGCTGGAGCTGGGTGATGCTGGAGCTGGGTGATGCTGGAGCTGGGTGATGCTGGGGCTGGGTGATGCTGGAGCTGAGAGTGCTACATCTTGCAGGCAACTGGAAGTCAACTGAGACACTGGGTGATTTTTTTTTTTTTTTTTTACAGATTCATCCTTTTATTAGCCATGGTATCAAAACGTCTAGTCAAAAAGACCAAAGCCTATGTCGTCATCAGACTCCTCGGATTCTTCCTTCTTTGCTTCCACTTTCTTGTCCTCAGCTGGGGCAGCAGCGGTGGAGGGGGCAGGACCGCCTGCTGGTGCGGCTCCGGCTGCTGGAGCCCCTACATTGCAGATGAGGCTCCCAATGTTAACATTGGCCAGGGCCTTTGCAAACAAGCCAGGCCAGAAAGGTTCAACATTGACACCAGCTGCTTTAATGAGGGCATTGATCTTATCCTCGTCGTCGTGGAGGATGAGGGCGGAGTAGATGCAGGCTCAGAGACGGAGGCCATGTTGCAGACTGCCGTCACGGTGCTAGTAGCCGGATGAAGTGAGGGCCTCACCCCAACGCGGCCTTAGCTTCCTCGGAAGAACCGAGCACCTTGGCGGCAGCAGAGGAAAAGGACTGGGTGATATCTTGAGCATAGAAAGTCTCAAAGCCCTTCCTTACAGTGACACATTTCCTCCAACAAGGCCACACCCACCCCAACAAAGTCACTTATAGTGCCACTCCCTATGAGACTATGGGGGTCAATTGCATTCAAACTTCCACACCACTGAAGTCCAATTTGGTGAACCAATGAGTTTTATTGTGGGTTATTTACGGGAGTATTGGTGAGGAGTTACTTACAGGAGCAGAAATGACTCAAAGATAGCTCATCACTAAAGCCCACGCCTGCATGAGTGACAGCTCACTGATCTGGAGCACACTGTACAGCCTGCAGGCAGCTCAGCAGGGTGGGGAGTGTCTTTCCCAGGCCCAGCTGGTCTGAGAATGACTCTCAGGTCTTTACTGACTATATACGGCTGGGGAGGAGGGGCCTCAGATATCTGTCTGTTTGGGGACTTCCTGATGCTTGCCCAGTTGGGTTTCACATAGGATGGAGGGTCTCATCTCCCTTAGAACATCCTATTGTTTCACTTCCCTTTGCCCTAAGAGGCCTCCCTCCCAACCCTGCTTCTGTCCTGGGAGCTCAGACCCTACCAGACAGGATGGACATCATGGAGATGCCACTCAAAAAATCGGGCTTCTGACAGATATTGAGGAGGGGGTCTCTGGGTGGGTGAAAATGAGGATGGCAGAACAAGGAAATGCCGGTTGTGTTGGAATAAGAAAAATTACTTTATTTATTTATTATTTATATTTGGAACAGAGTTTCTCTCTGTAGCTCCAGCTCTCCTGGAACTCATTCTATAGACCAGGTTGGCCTCTGAACTCACAGAGATCCACCTGCCTCTGCCTTCCGAGTGCTGGGATTAAAGGTGTGTGCCACCACTGCCTGGCTGCATTTGTTTATTTATTAATTTATTTTTGAGACAGCGTCTCACTAGGTAGCCCTGGGTGGTCTGGAACTCAATATGTCACTGCCCTCTTCTGAAGCAGTGGCTACTCAGAACTTACTGAGCTATGAGGAGGGAGAAACTAGCAGCAGCTATTTTTTTTTCTGTAGGTTACTTTTGAATTGTTTGATTGGTGTGTGTGTGTGTGTGTGTGTTGGGATTTACTTAGAGGTTTGTTTTTATTTTTCTATGTTTTACTTGTATGTATGAGCTCTTGTCTGTGTGAGTATATGCCACCTGTGTGGGTGTTCTCAGAGACCAGACCTGTGATGCGTTTATCTAAATTGTTCTATTATCAGTAAAAACCTGGGAGCCAGATATTGGGCTAAAAAACCTGATAGATCAAGAAAACAGCAGAGGTAAGACTAGCTAAGACTCTCTCCAAGCTTCCCAGATTGAAAAGACTGAGAATCTTTCTAAGCCCCTCCCTCCTCCTTACTGTGCCTTCTATTTTTCCTGGGTTCTTCAAAATCTCTACGACTATTTCCAGTCAGCTAGTTGCTGATTCTGGTCCCTGATTCAAGATTAACTTTATTAACAGTCTCAGGGTGTAGCTGAACACGTAAAAGGGGGTGAGGATGCAAGTCGAATAATCCCAAACTAATTCCAAAAGATTTTAGTTATTATTTTTTATTGTAAGGGGAAAACTCATGGAACAGAAATGAGAAGTCCAACTTCAAGGTGTGTAATGCAGGAAGGAGAGAGAGAGAGAGAGAGAGAGAGAGAGAGAGAGAGAGAGAAGAGAGGTGGGTGGGCTGGTGGTTTTCTCTGGGTACCCAAAAGATCATGCCCCAACCTGGTCCAGCCTCTTAAAGGTCATTGATTGAAGGTGGTTTCCCCATCATTGGGGTGTCATGATGTCATCAAATATCCTGCAACAGATCTGAGCAGAGGAAGTGGAGTCCCTGGCACTGCAGTTACAGATGTGAGTGGTGGGAACTGAACTCTGGTTGCTTTTGAGAACAGAAAGTGATCTTAACTACTGAGCCATATATCCTCAATTTTTAAAATTATTTCTTCTTCTTCTTCTTCTTCTTCTTCTTCTTCTTCTTCTTCTCCTCCTCCTCCTCCTCCTCCTCCTCCTCCTCCTCCTCCTCCTCCTCCTTCTCCTCCTCCTCCTCCTCTTCCTATTAAGCCTGGGTCCCACATAGCCCAGGCATACTGGTTATGAATTAGACACCAGCTTGGGCTACAAGGTGAGACCGTGTCTCAGAAACCCCAACCAGCCAAACCTAAAGAGCCCCACGTCCAAGGTGACTGGTGTCATCCACAAGACCTCCATGATTTCTGGGGGTCCACCATAACCTCCCCTTGTCTGGGTGCATGGGAAATCTTTTTTTTTTTAATTTGGAAATTAGCTGCACATGCAGAAGACATGTTTTGTCTTCTGCCCAGCTTACAAGGCAAAGCAATACATTTTCTGCAGTCCCTGGACCTCAGCACCCTGCATCCCTGTGTCCATCCCAGCAGGAAACCAGAGATGTCACACATTGCAATGAAGTCAGTCAGCTGGCTGAGTTGGTCAACTCCCAGGGAAGTCACAGAGATGCACCTGCCTCTGCCTCCAGAGTGCCACTTCTGCCCAACTTTGGGAGGTCTCATATTGTAAAATTGATCACAGGTACCTCCTTACCTGGGAGAAAGCAGAACCAAATCCTCCACCTCTTGAACCGAAATGGTCTCGTGACTTGCTCCTGCCAATAGAATGGCAAATGGTATGTTCTAGTTCTGAACTTGGTCCACTGGAGGGCTTGCAACCTGTTAAGGTTTGCCTAGCTGAACATTCCCTTATTTGGTCACTTCCTCCTCCTGAGGCTGACTATTGTTGACTGAGGTTTCTGTCCCACCTGGTCTTGCTGTCATTCAGTCCCAAAGAAACACACAGAGGTCTACATTAATTATAAAACTGATTGGCCCATTAGCTCAGGCTTCTTATTAACTCTTATAACTTACATTAGCCCATTATTCTTGTCTATGTTAGCCATGTGGCTTGGTACATTATTTGGCGAGGCAGTCACGTCTTGCTTCCTCTGCGTCTGGGTTACGACTGTAAGATGAAACTTCCCTCTTTTTAGAGTTTTTGTCCCTTCACCTCTACTTGCTGCCTGGTCGCCCCACCTAGATGTTCTGTCTGGCTACTGGCCAATCAGCATTTTATTAACATAAGATTGACAGGGGACAAACCATTGTCCCACAGCAGACTATCACTGTCCAACGACCAGAGTAGAAAAGTCCCCCCTTTAAAGGCTGCCCTAAGTAACATTAAACACCTCTTCCCCTGCCTGTGGGCCCTCCTCCCCACTGCTTTGTTGGTCATTTGTCTCCAAGATGTTCTCATCCTGTCCTGAGATTCCTTTCCTGGGATTTATGCCATTACAGGTCAGTAGTACATCAGCTGCATGTTCCTTATCTCTGTGGGTCAGTTCTGCAAGATTGTAATTAATATAGTTTCTGTGTGATTATTTAGGTCTGGGTGGCTACAAAATGAATGTGCAATCTCCATTTACATAATAGTGCCCATGTCTGGGGCATAAATCCACTTACAACCTAAAAAAAACTTAATAAAAAAGAGAGGGCTTCTAGACCCACAAAAACGGAAGCCAAGCACAGCTTCTTCGTAGCCGCATTTTTTCAGAGAGGCTCTGTTTGTTGGTGGTGAGTAGAGGTGTGGCTTCCTTTAAGAGAAGTTTTCATGACTCAGCAAAAACTTCTTTAAGAAACAGCTTCTTGGTTCATGCTGGCAGGACTGACTTTGGCTCTTTTGGGAGGTCCTGACTTAGATGGGGTTTTTGAGCAGTGTGGTACTAGTTGCTTAATGGCAACACAGACCCACTGTGTCCCTGGAGATGGGGCGGTGAGCATGTCTCACAGGGGAGATGAACATATCTCCACCATGTTGGATGGGGCAGAGCAAACAAGCAGGGTCTCCAGAGTTAGTCCTAGCCATGCCCACTTAGCATTAAAAAAAAGGTGCTCCTGGTCAGAAAATGATTAAAAATATGCAGTAAAGACAGATTCCAACAAAAATAAATCTCTGAACAGGTCATAGTGTGTTTAAAAAGTGTATGTAGGCTTGGGAGAGAGAAGAAAAAGAATATAGACAGTTATAAAAAGGAATCAATAGTTTAAAAAATAAAGTCTTTAAAGAGGCAATAAAAGTAATATAAAAGAGTACAGAGCCATAGATTAAAGGAGTAAAGAAATAAGCTATGTAAAGATGAAAAATACACACAGAGTCTGGATTATGTGTATTGTTGTGTTTTCTTTCAATTTTTGGACTACAGAGAGACATTTGATTTTGGGGGCTGCTAAGTTAAACCAACATAAAGATATCTTGACTTCAAAATTTGAGTCTAAGGATGTGTTACTTTGAAAGAGGTTCTGCTTTTGTTTCTACAGAGGGTGGGAACCTGTGGAATCCTTCCAGACTAAAGTAGTTTAATTAAAGAAGACCCCCTGAATGGTCTCTGTGAACCCTAAAAATACTTTGCCCAACAAACAGCAGGAAGCAGTTTGTAGAAAGCTATGCCCAAATTACCAAAATGATTGTTTATAAATGTTTTCATTTAAAGGGGGTTATGATATATAAAAGAATACTTTACATTGGTATGGGTCTTAGTCTATTTGATAGAAATTTAAGGTCGATTTTGTTATGTAACACCCGATTCTGTGTTACACCCTTGGTACAGTTCGCTCGCCACTGTACCATATGTGAGCGGGCAAGGGCCTGGAGATTGAAAGAACACACAAAGAGACCTGGGTCATTCCTAAGGAGGTCAGCCGAATGCCGTTTATTCAACCTTGAGGAAATCCTTATAGACCTAGCTGCTGCACAAGGATTTCCGCCCAGGCAGGTGGGAAATTACCATGTCAAAGATGGAGTCAACAATGCCCTACAGCTAATCACCAGGTGGGGCCGGGGAGCACAGGAACAAACACAATGCTTTAGTTAGCTGGCTGACCAGAAACTGTCCTCAAGATGCACCCCAGGAACAAGGGTAGACCCGGGCCCTACATTGTTACACTGTATATATGTATTTCTGTTCTTGTTTAAGGTATTATGTTTGTGCAACTCATTTAAAAATGTAATGTATAGGTAAGAAATACAGATTAATAGATATTATCTATAATAAACTTTTAATTACATTAGTTAGGCTTTCTAGATATACAGAGATATATTTCAGATGGATATATACTCTTCAACTCTTCAAAGTCCTACAGAATAAGACATTTAAAATGTTTTAAAACTTAGACTTTTCTTGACAATGAGACACATCTGCCAATGACTTCAAGAGGATGATGGGCATTGAAGAGTCTTCTTATGGAGTTTGCAAGTCATTTGGGCAAGAAACTGTTCTTGCCTGAACTGCTTGATGGTATGCTGCATGAACTGTGAAGTAATAAGGGCGGCGGGGCTGCGTCCCCAACACCCCAGCCGCCTGCCCGGCTAGCTTATGCCCCGAAATAATTACATGGACACTGTATTCTTTTAATCACTGCTTGGCCCATTCTCTTCTAGGCTAATTCTCACATATTAATTTAGCCCATTTCTAATCATCTGTGTATGGCACCCCAAGGTGCGCTTACCAGGAAGATTCTAGCCTATGTCCATCCTGGGTCGGAGCTTCATCCCGGGAGCGGGACATGGCGTCTCTCTCAGGCGTCTGTTCCAGAGAGGAGAGCTGTCAAGACTCTGACCTCACTTCCTCTTCCTCCCAGCATTTTGTTCTGTTTACTCCACCCACAGGGCCAAGCAGTTTCTTTATTGGCCAATGACCTTCCTCCATCAGAACTGGACATGCAGGACCCACAGAGAAATGACTGCTGAACTTTCTGGAGGACAGGATGATCCTTCAGGGTTCCTGCGTCACAGAAGAAACTGCCAGACATTCTGCAGGACACAGAAGAAAGTGATTGACAGACTGTCAGTATAGGCAAAACAGATCTTCAAATTTCCTGCATCACTGAAAAGTCTTCCAGGTGTTTTGGGCCTGTAGACTAAAGATGGATGCCCCAAAATTATAGAAGAACTTTGAATGACTGTCCAGGCAATGAGATGTCTCTGTCAGTTGTAAAGTATTGGAAGTTGCTTACAATGCACTGTATCCTGTGTACTTAAGTAATATTATATCCTTCTGGGGTCTTTGTTGTAGTTGAAGACTGATATTTATAGTTTTCTTTAGTTATGAAAAATAATAAATTAGATATAAATATTGTAACTATAATTCTTGCTTGATAACTGTTTTGTTATATGTAACTTTACTGTGTTAAAGTTAAAACCTTCCTTTTATTTAGACAGAAAAGGGGAGATGATGTGGCATGTCCTTCTGTATATTTAGTGCTTTTATTGGATAATGAATAAAGCTGTTTTTGCCAGTGACTTAGCAGAATAAAGTCAAGTGGGAAATCTGAACAGAGATATACAGAGAGAGTAGGTGGGCTCAAGGAGATGCCATGTAGCTGCTGAAGGAGAAAGACACCATGCAGCTGCCCAAGAAGCAAGAGGTAACAAACCGCAAGCCTTGTGGTAAAATACAAAATAATAGAAATGGGTTAATTTAATATATAAGAACTAGTTAGAAATATGCCTAAGCTGTTGGCCAAGCAGTGTTGTTGGGGGCCTGGAAAGTGAACGTGCAATCTCCACATAGTAAAGTTTAAAGTCAGAGATTGTGACACATTCAAAAGTTCCTCGATTGTTTAGGATTATTTAGGCTAGCCTGAGTTTTGGTTTTCCTTAGGAAGTTGAGGATTGTTCTTTCGAGATCTGTGAAGAATTTTGCTGTAATTTTAATGGGAATTTGCATTGAATCTGTAGATCGATTTCAGTAAGATTGTCATTTTTGCTATGTTGGTTCTACCTTCACAAGAGAATAGGAGATCTTTCCATTTTCTGATGTCTTAAATTTCTTTCTTCAAAGATTTTAAGTTCTTATCATACAGGCTTTTCTATTTGTTTGGGTAGAGTTACTCCAAGATATTTTATGGTATTATTGTAAAGGGTTATGTTTCTCTGGTTTCTATCTCAGCTCATTTATCATCTGTGTAGAAAAGGTGCATTCTGGGTTGTTTTCAGATTCTGTCTATGACAAAGTAATTCTGCTGTGAACATAGTTGAGCACATGTCCTTATGGTATGGTTGAGCATCTTTTGTGTATAGGGAAAAAAGTGGTATTGCTGAGTCTTAAGGTAGTTTTGTTGTTCTTAATTCCTGTTTGTCCTATGGGGGTAAAGACGGTTACGCGAGGAAAAGACACAGACACGCGGCGGTCCCACGTGGGTGCACTTTTAATGGAGGAGGGGCAACAAACAGGTGGGGAGGGGCGTGCAAACACAGTAGGAAAGGCGGGAAGGAAAAAAGGGACAAACTCGTGACGGTCCTTGCTTTTAACGGGGAATGCAAAGGCTTCTGGGAAATGTGTTCCACGCTTGCGTGCGCTGGAGTCCAGAGGGATGTTGGGGGTTGTGTTCTCGCAAGGGAACAACAAGTTTATTGCCTAATTTTCTGAGAATTCGCCAAACTAGTATCCAAAGTGGCTGTGCCAGTTTGCACTCGCACCAGCATTGGAGGAGTGTTCCCTTTACCCACATTCTCTTCAGCATAAGTTGTCATTAGTGTTTTTAATCTTGGCCATTCTTGGAATCTCAGAGTTGTTTTGATTTGTACTTCTCTAATGGTTAAGGATGTTGAGTTTTTTTGGGGTGTCTTTCAGTCATTTTAAATTCATCTGTTGAGAGTTTTTTTGTTTAGGTCAGTACCATATACTTTTATTGGATTATTTGTTCTTTTGATGACCAATTTCTTGAATTTTTTTGTATATTTGGAGTGGCTACGTAAGGATCTTTTCTCATTCTATAGGCTGATATTGTGTCTTGTTGACTATGTCCGTGGCTATACAGAAGCTTCTCAGTTCAGGAGATCTCATTTATTGATTGTTTCTCTCACTGTCTGTGCCGCTGAGGCTGTAATTGAGATGCACCAATGCATTCAAGTGTACTTCTAACTTTTCTTCTATGAGGTTCAGTGTGGTTGGTTTTATGTAGAGGTCTTTGATTCGTTTGGATTTCAGTTTTTGCATAGAGATGAATATGGATCTGTTTTCATTCTCCCACATGCTGATGTCTAATTAGGCCAGCACCATTAGTTGAATATGCTTTCTTTTTTCCATTTTCCTATCAGTTAGACAAACTTGAAACTTAAGAGGAGAATAATTTACAAACTTCTAATTAGATATACAATGGCTAAAGCCTTAATTATAATATTCTTATGGGAGATACTGAGCTACAAAGTAAAATTCTTAAAGGGAGCAATGAGCCAATTTCCAATAGACAGCTTACAAAAACTGCCAGACGGGTTCTCAAGCAGGTAGAGTATATTAATTATGATTCAGCCTTAGCAAGCATGTATATTAAATATAAAACTTAATCTACAGGGGTTTTATGAAAAAAATAATTTGCCTTTTATGACTGCACTTTCCCATTTTGCCAGTTAGGATGTTAAACTCTTAATTTGAAGCAGTAGCTCGTCTAGTACAGAGGAGCCCGATGGACCTAGGAGATGATTTAGCAGAGAACTGACTATGGTCAATGTTCCTTATACTAAGCAACAGATTAACGGATAATTTTAAGGTGGCGATTCTTGGACAGTTGTGTTTGTTCAGTTTAAAGGTCAGAGTAATAATCTTTTCCTAGATAATCATTGCTGCTGTTCTCACAACTATATTTTGCTAATGTTTTAGCTAGAGATCCCTGAAAGATCTAAATTTTACGTGTGGCTCTGCCAATGGAAGAACTGCATATATGGTTAATAATGAAAAGGAATTGTGGAGTGTGTCATGGCTCCTTGAAAACAAAAGGATAAACGTTGCAAGCAGATCTGCTGCAGACAGATCTGGCATGGTGATCTTGCTAAGGCAAGGTGGAAAAGCTCTTGTAGTGAATTATGAAAAAATCCCAGCCCATATTAATTTGGGGTCAAGGATGTGTTTGTGTTTTTTTTCCACAGAAAGATGATAAAGCTGGAAGAGATGACAGCATACACAGCAAAGGAGAGGCAGACCTGATGACACGGTAGCTGATAAAGTCCTCATAGAGAAGTCGGAGAAAGGAGTTGGAGAGGAGTCCATGGTCCAGTCTCCCCTGCCCCCACACAGAGGAGTGCCTGACCCGCGGGACCTCCTGCTGCTGCCACTCTGCGCTGCAGGGTGCCATGCTGCACTGAGGGACAGCCGCTGAGCTGCTTCCAGACATTTTGATTGAAATATTGGACCTGAGAACTGAGACCTAAGCTCTCCCCTCAGGGAAAGAAAGACTCAATAAGGAATGGCCAAAGCCCTCTTCACTTAGAGGAGGCGGCCTGGGGGTTTAACTGCTGCACAGAGACTGGAACTGGAATCTGACAGCAGCAATGTCACTGGACTCTCACCCATCAGAAAAGCTTTTCTTGTCTTTTGATTAATATGGATTTAAGAAGATTGTGATATGTTAATTGTGGATTTATTGTTAATTATGTTATTGACCTGGTGATGTTTGTAGCTGCTTATAAGATGTAGAGAAAAGTTTGACAAGCCCTGTAAATGATTGAGTTTAATACATATGTTAAGAATTTTAGATTTTGATGCAATGTAAAAAATTTAAGAGGTGCTCTAGACCAGCTGAAGGAACATTTTCAACTCAGGTGATCCTCCTCTCCTTTAACTAGGAGACTATAGTCTTTAGGAGCATGAATGTTCATAAAACATTATGATCTTTCCTGACTAGAAAGTTTGGCTCTGAGACACAAAGCCCAAAGGTATCTCTCTCCCCTAATGTCTTTTGTTCACAGAGGTCAGCAGTCAGAGACCGGTTTGAAACTTCTTCTCCCCAGGTGCCTAAGACAGTCATGAATGGAATCCCTGTTCCAAGGATGGGTAAATTTGGGTAAATGAAGGAGTCTTTGCCTAAGGCAGACGTGATCATATGTCCTGTTGCAGAAGCACATGTTTTATTAAAATTAATAAGAAAGAGTGGATTGTAGGGCTGTATTATACAGGCCTATATTTCTACATTGTATGGTGGCCAGAATTTCAGGCCACAGTCTGTACCTGCCACACAGGATGTGGTCACTTAGCCTTTTCCGACAAACTGACGCCATCCTAAACAAAGGGTCAGGATACACTAATGTCGCTCTGCTCCTTCTTTTTAATTTGGGAGGTCACCTGGGAAAGAGGTGTTAATTCTACATGACAGAGAAGTCATAGGTAGGAAGACGTGACAAAATGGGCACAGAAAGGTGTGGATGTGACCACAGTCATTCTCCTGGTTACCTAGGAAACAGAATGCTAATGAATTTCCCCCTCAGTTTATGTTTTGGTATTAACGCTGTTTAGGGAATAAACACGATTTTTAGGATGTGAACTTAGGACTTCATGAGGGATCCCTGAAAACTTCCTCCTGATAAGGTCATGTGAGTTGTGTCTTTATTCCCAAACCTCCCTCCTGCTTCGAGAAATAATTTATGGTCTGGGCTGGCCCTGGACCACAACAAAACTAAACTAAACCCTTTTCTTGCCTACCGCGCTCATGGGGGAGCTTACTACAGCAACAGGAGAGTCATTAGTACAAGTGATAGAGAGGCCAGGAGTGATGGTTACAGTGCTTGGTGGGTAGAGACAGGAGGGTCGGAAGTTCAAAGCCAACTCCACATCCAACTGGAGGCCAGCCTGGGCTACATGAGACCCTGTCTCAAACAGAAATGGATTGATTCTTTTTGTTGTTGTTGTTTTTAGATAGAGCCTCACTGTGTAGCCAAGACTACCCAGGCTGACCTGGCACTCACTTGTGGCAATCCTCCTGACTCAGCCTTCTAGAGTGTTTGGAGTACAGGTCTATACTACCAGGCTTTTTTTGTCCCTCATGCTATTGTTTTTGTGCGTGTGTGTGTGTAGTGCCTGTGTGTGCCTGTGTGTGCCTGTGTGTGTGTGTGTATAGTGCCTATCAAAGCCAGAAGTGGGTATCGGATACCCTACATCTGGGGTTAAAGGTGTTATAGATCTCATGTAGCAGGCTTTCTGGGACTTCCAGCCCTCAAATCATGACACAGAGATTTACTTAATATTAATTATGAATATTAATTAATTATAATTAATTGTTTCTAGCCAGTTTTTTCTTTAATTTAAAATAACCCATTTCTATTAATCTGTGTGTTGCCTGGGGCTTGTTTACCTCCTTTAGGTACTGTCCATCTTACTTCCTCCACGTCTGACTGATTGACCCAGGCATCTCCCTCTCTTCTCCCTCATTCTCTCTCTCCCTTTCCCTGTCCCTCTCCCTCCCCCCCCCCAGATTCCTCCTCCTCCTTTTTCTCTCTGCCCAGACAGTCCCGCCTATTCTTCTCTTGCCTAACTATTGGCCACTCAGCTTTTTATTAGAACCATCAGGTGCCTTAGGCAGGCAACTTGAAACAGCAACACATTTTCACATTGTAAAGCAAATGCAGCATAAAAAATTGTAACACTTCTTTACACAGTTAAACAATTATTCTGCAACACAAACAAATGGAACACATGGTTCTATTTCACAACAGTCGCAGGCAGTGCAAATATCCAGAGATGATCTCAACCTGGACTGTAGGAAGATTTTTAGATACAGGCCAGCATTCCTCAGCAAATTGTGAAACCAGTTACCACCTGCCAAAAGAAGTCATTTCCTTTGCCTCTGGCAGAAGGCTACCTATGCGCCAGATCCCAGGCATCTGTTAGACATCTCAAGGCCCCAGGCCAGTCTCCTGCCCCTTCCCTTCCCCAGCAACTCACCTTCTTTACCACCTGCTATTCTCTACTATACCCCCCTCCCCCACTTACTCTCTATTTCCACTGTTCTCTCTCTTACCCCTTCTTCCCTTGTTTTGCTCTTATTCTCTGACCTCACTTCCTCTCTGAGGCTCTCGCTCCTCTCTCTGCTCTCTGTTAGCGTTCTATATCCTCTGTTCTCTCTCCCGCTCCTCCAGCCCTGGTCATGCTCAGCCCACTTCCTTTCCTCTCTGCTCTCTCTGCTGTCTCTCTCCTGCAGTTAAAGCTTTAAGCATATGGAGCAGTAATATCAGTTTCTTTACCAAGTCCCCTCACATACATTCTGTGTCACCCAGGTGAGCGCTGGGAACTGAACTCGGGTCCTCTTGAAGAGCAGCCAGTGCTGTTAACTATCTGACGACCTGAGTTCGATCCCTGGAATCCACAGAAAAGGTGGAATAAGAGAACTGAGTGAATACAGTGGTTCTGTGACCTCTGCGTGCACACGATGGCACCCAACCCACACACTCACGCTAATAAGAAATGTGTTTTCGTGTTGGTTAAGAATTCCAGAATCTGGCCGGGCGGTGGTGGCGCACGCCTTTAATCCCAGCACTCGGGAGGCAGAGGCAGGCGGATCTCTGTGAGTTCGAGGCCAGCCTGGTCTACAAGAGCTAGTTCCAGGACAGGCACCAAAGCTACAGAGAAACCCTGTCTCAAAAAACCAAAAAAAAAAAAAAAAAAAAAAAAAAAAAAAAAAAAAAAAGAATTCCAGAATCTGTGACTCGGCTCTAGAATTCTGTCCCTCATCCAGCAAACTTCAAAATTTTATTCTCTCAGTTTTGTGTTGTGTGAAAGGCGTTTTGCCTGCAGTGATGTTGTTTTTAGGGGACCATGTGTGAGCCTCCACATGGGTGCTGGGAACTGACTCTAGACCCTTTGCAAGTGCAGCCAGTGCTCTTAACTGCTGAGCTACCTCTTCAAACCCCATCCAAATTTATCATGATGATGATTTTGGTATCTAGAGCAAGGAGTTTCTCCATGTTGCCCTGGTTGTCCTAGAACTCACTCTGTAGACCATACTGAACTTGAATTCTCAGAGACCTGCTTGCTTCTGCTGGGATTAAAGTCATGTGCCGCCACTGCTGCCCAGCCACCCCCAAACTTTTTAAAAGTCAAGTATAAATTCTATATTCCCTTGGCAAGAATCCACATACCCCTACCAAGGCCTAACACAAATAGCTAACCCCTCCATGACTCCTGGGTCAGAGAAGGTCTGTGGCTGTGGGGAGGAGACTGAGGTGGCTTGTTGAGGTTTCTTTGGTCAAGACTTGAAATGGGGCTAGGGTGTAGGCCTTGGGAAGCTTCTCCCAGAGTTTGAGAGACGAGGGGCCCTAGACTTGTATGAAGTCCCCGCATTGCAGTGGTGGGAAGTATGCCTATGCAGGAGAAGCCTTAGTAAATGACCCACACTGCCAGCGTTCGGAAAGGAAAGAGCAGCAGAGGGCTGTGAAGGGAGCTGATGTCTCTCTTGGGTCACACCCATGGGAAAGAAGAGCTCCTACTTGTCTAAGCAGAGAGGCTCAGGGGTGGTAGGAGATCTTGCTGAACTTCCAAAGAGCAGTGGTTTCCAAGGAGACCGCATTCAGAAAGATTCATTAGTACACACACAGTCTCCCCCAAAACTCCGTTAGGTGCAAACACTTGCTTGGGCCTGTCCCTTTCTCCCTCTCTCTGCTCATGCCCAGAGGGGCTCAGGAAGCAGCTCTTCAGTGGAGGAAGGTCACCTACCCAGAGAGAGTAGGAGAAGAATCATTGGAGGGTCTTTATTCCCCTGCAGAGCAAGCCCTGGCCTAGGACCAGGAAGGCTTTAAGCTGGGTAGATTTGGGGGCTTTTTTATTCTCATTTATGTTTTGCTGGGTTTTGAGACTGCCTTACTGTGGAGCCAGGCTGGCCCAGAACTTGCCGGCTAGACCAGTCTGGCCTCCAGCTTTCTGTGCCCCTCCCCCGCCTTTGCCTGTCACGTGCTGGGATTGCAGACGTGTGCCACCATGCCTCCCTCAGGGCTTTATGGACAGAGCTGGACATTTTTGTTGTTCTCTTTGGAGATCAGGTCTCATTACAGAGCCCACACTGGATCCAGACTTGTGAGATCTTCCTGCCAAACCTTTCAAGGGCTGGGATTACAGACCTGGAACACAACATCTCTGGGAACTTTCGGCCTGGGGGAGGAAGCAGTTTCTTTGTTACAGGAAGCCTTCTCTATGATCTCCTCCATCCAGACAGCTGCATTTCAAAGCCTCTTTCTCATCTCCAAGTGTGACCTGGGGAAGCTATGAAACCTCTCTGAGCTACAGTGTGGACACTGCCCCCTACCCACCCTCCACGCTGTGTAGCAAGGACGCATGTGTGAGCGGTAATGTCACTGAACAGACCACCTC